GAGGTAGTGAAGGCTTAAGGAGATCCTTAAGAGGCAGGGTGTAGACCTGAGAGTGGTCAAGTTTAACAGCGTTCAGTAATAGTAAAAGATTAGCCTTAGCTTCATCTTGTTCCTTTACTGTGCAGGAAGCAGTAATTTTAGGTGCTTCTGTGTCCCGGCAAGGGCAGAAGAGTTCTCCTCCCCATACTAGTCTCGGGTTCCAGCAGCACTTATAAAAAAGACAAAATGAGGATTATTAGAAAGATAAAAAAAATATGATTATCCAGAAATACCAGAGCATATTGCCTTTAGGAGGAGATAAGAAAGAAAAATTAGTGTAAGGAAAATACATTTGTTTCCCCATCAGAGGACAGGAACCTGTACTCTCGTTCTCACCCAGTGTAGATGTAGCCCCCAGTAATCAGTCTTTATCTGTCCCTGTAGGAGTCTAGATAATCCCTCTTCTAGTAACCCTGGACATAACAGCAGGGGTTGGAACTGCCATAGGGAGTTTAACCTGTGGATGCCTAACAAGGGGCAAGACTGGGAAAACAAGAACCTCACCCCCAGGGTAGTCTATTTTTCCCTTTAATATTAGTACTCAAGCAACTGAGACCCCTAATCTTTCTGCCCTAAAGATAACATCTAGGTCTCAGTTGTATTTCAGCTCCAGGCAAAAAAAAAAAAAAAAAAAGGCAGCAAAGCTAGACATTTGACTCTGTGGCAGCCTTCCCAGCTTTTACTTCCCAAGTCACTCAACAAGACCACTTTCAAGACTTTACCAATCAGTCTCTTGGGGAAACTCTTCTGTGGCACTTCTTTTCCAGCCCACTACTATCAAAGTCCATTCCCTGTGATCTTGATGTCCCACCTCAGCAGAAATTAATAACAGAAGATATGACCTTTTTCCCTATTTCATAAAACAAAAAGGCTGGAATGTTAGATTTGATCAAGCAGTTGAATTGATACCTCTCCCCCGGGAATTGGCTCTTCATGTCATTTCACTATGGACATTCCCTTTGCTGAGAGCACATTTCACTTGCGGTGACCACATTCCATTATCTCCCCTCTGGCTATGCATAAAAAAGTTTCCGCCCAGAAAAATCCCACAAGAAGTCCTTTAAAAGCCGCTGACTCCAGTCACTGGGTGCTGGAGCCATCCAGACCCAGCCACCTGATGATGGGATGATCAAATAAATTTGTAATCCTTCACCATTCTAGCCTCATGTGTCCCTCCTTTGGTGACCTAACAGCTGTTTTTCCATTTCTACCATCTCATGGGAGCTACAAGTGTAAGCTCTACTGGCCTTCATAGTTAGGCAATCAAGAGGTATCGCCTGGAAGGCAACCACAAAAATCAGAGTGCTAAATAAGTGCAAAGCTGCTCTCTCAGCTGTATTGGTGCCCTGATATAAGTCATTGGTTGAACAGAAGGATGTAGATCACTGGCCTCTATTCCCTTCATAGGTTTCTCTATATATGCCAAACTAGAAAGCTGCCCCTCAGGCTGACACTCTAAGACAAGTAAAAAGACCCCTTTTATTGAAAGACTGAGAGTGCATTTCAGTCTGCTATCTATGCAGTGCCCTGGGTGTTATCTGGCCAAAAACTGTTTCATAAATACAAGTTCCTATTGCTCATTAGAATCAAAGCAGTCAAGAAATCAGGGAAAACAATAAAGACAGTCCTCTGAATATCAGGTAATCTGTGTTCTGAATGCTAATTAACATATCTCATCCTGAAGGTGCAGATATGACAATGGGTTACCATTGTTGCTGCCTCTGTGTGAAAAGCATGCAGAGGTTTGAGGAAACAGACCCAAGTTTATTATTTTCCCTTTATTTGTACTCTTTTTTTCCCATTTGGGGAGCCAAATATTTATGTACTGGGACATATAAAAATATCTACGTATCCACTGAAATTTAGAAAGCATGCAAAGCCTAGGAACAAAGTAAACCTAACAAGACTTTAAGTTTACATCTTAGGCTAATCTCCAAAACAGAGATACTCCACAAAAACAAGAAAACAAACCATGTTCAAGGAAGATAATCTAATATCAAGAATTACATTATAAAATTGAAATGACCCATTTTTCAGTAACAAAAAAACAACATTAAGGCATATAAAGAAATAGAAAAAATATGACTCTTTCAAAGGGAAAACATAAAATCAATAGAAACTGTCCAAGAGGAAGACATTTTTGTTCAGGTGGTAGAATTATCAAAGACTTTTAAATTAGTTATATTTAAAATTTCCAAAGAGCTAAATGAAGATAGGGACAAAGTAAAAAAACAAACAAACAAAAAAAGCCAGTATATGATTATAATGGAAAAGTCAATAAAGTGAAAAGAAACTTCAGAAGTATTAGTATGGCTACCTATTACAGGGCTGGCTGTGGAGTAGAAGAATGAAGACCTGCTATAGCACTGTTGACTGAAGATGAACCAAAATTTACCACTATTTACTGGCCAACCATTTTTCTGGAAGGCCCAAGCCTTTGAAAGGACTTCAGAGTTCCAAAATATTTATATCAGACAGTTTCTGCAAGTACAATTATTGTCATGCTTTGGAGACAGATTCCTGGCCTTTCTACTCTGCTTCCATGATGTCACTTTAGCCTCTTGTTTCTGACTCTCTCATGAGGGGTACACTATTATAAAAACCCCACAGTATTAGTGCCTTTTCATTAATTATAAACCCTTAGCCTCATTTCATCCTCTTTCTTTTGAAGCAGATGACTATGCCTTTTATTTCTTAGAGAAAAAAGCCGTTCTTACGTAACTAAAACTTCCTTGTGTATGTATTCATCTCGAGCTCTTTTGATGACTTCTATATCATTAACTAGAAGCCTGGTGCACAAAAATTTGTGCACTCGGGGGAAGGGGGGGTCCCTCAGCCCGGCCTGTGCTCTCTCGCAGTATGGGACCCCTTGGGAGATAACAACCTGCTGGCTTAGACCTGCTTCCGGGTGGCAGAGGGCAGGCCCAATCCGTAGGTGCAGCCCCTGGTCGGGCTCAGAGCAGGGCCGATTGGGGAGTTGGAGCGCTGCCACCTGTCACACTCAAGGCAGGGTTGATGGGGAGGTTGTGGCACCACCTCCTGTCATGCACAGAGCAGGGCCGATCAGGGGGTTGGGGAGCTCCCTGCTGTCCCT